TTTGTCGACCCGTGCGTGGGTACGTTCAAGGCGCTGGCGGCCAAGGTCACGTGTGGTCTCGGCGCGGCGCCGGAAGTCATCTCGACGCCGTTCATCGCCCCGAGCTGCAACAACACACCGTAGTGGGACTGTTGCGTATCTGGTTGTTGAAGGCCGTCGACCATGTTTGTTGGCAGCGTAAACTTGAATGCCCTCTTCTTGTCATCTCGAAAGTGTTGCTACCGGGTACTGGCGCTACTAGCAGCCTTAAATGCAGTTCTCTTGTAGCGTTTCGATAGACATTCCATGTCGTTTGATGACTCGAGGTATCGCCAATCATGCTTGACGTGTACTAGTACTTGCATTGAGGATTTTGGTGGGTCGGCGAACACAAAGATATGTCAATGACAAGGGGATATACGATATATACCCTTGGAGAGGAGTGGACAAGTGACGGCAAGCCTGCCTACGGCTTCCTCATTGACACAATTACGACACAGTAACTGCCCTGAATATTCGCCTCGAGTCTTCCCACGGACTCTGTCATCTGACGGTCTACTAAGCTCAGCTTGTACTACCGCCGAGCACAGAAACATGAGGCAAACCGGGGCCGTCGGTGGTAAAACTGCGACAACTAAGGTGCCTCCGACAAGGGCATTCGCCCAGGTCAACATCAGGGTGCTGGTAGTGTACAGTCAAGGGAAGTGTTTTATATCCCTTGTGCACAGTGGGCAAAACCTGGGACAATCCCATGATTAAAGTTGAAGTTTGGATGCGCCATCTGCTGCGATCTGATTGGCTCATTTCCTTACGCTTGGCACGGTAGCAACCATTTCCGAATCGCCCCGAACATGCCGTCGCGGTCCTCCAAAGTCGTGCGGCTCATCGCGACGGGCTGGACGTCCTTGGCCAAGACGACCAAGTCGCCCGTCGAGCTCATGCAAGATGCGCTCGTGTCGGCCACCAACGCCGCCGGCATCAGCCTCCGCGACATTGGCGGGCTCATCGCGGTGCCGTCGCTCGCAGACCCGCACTTCATGGAAGCGCACTACGTCGCGACGCACATGGGCATCCTCCCAGCCAAGAACGTCGTCGTGCGCACGGTGGACACGGGCGGCGCGGGCCCGGTCACGGCCTTGCTGGCGGCCAAGCGCATGGTGGTACGTTTTAGTTTGTTCTTGGACAGCGCAAATGCGGCGGTACAATAGGAGTACGAGGGCGTCGACTGCGTGGCGGTAGTCGCCGGTGACGCTGTGCGTCAGCTCTCTGGTGACGAGTTCCTTCGCCGCGCTGACCAAACGTGCTACCACCCCGCGTCTGGCCTCTCGTCGCCTGTGATTCCATCTGGCTATGGTATCCTTATTATTTGATGACGCATCATTATGGGATCCAACTAGACCGCATTGCCCGCTATCAAATGGACAAATTTGGCGTCACGCGCGCCGAGCTCGCTGCATGTTCGGCCGTCATGTCCATCATGGCGTCGCAGCACCCGCTCGCAATGACCAAAGTGCCCCGAACGATCGAAGAGGTTCTCGCGTCGCCACCGGTGGCATCCGTGACCAACCTTCTCGAATGCGCCCGCCGGGCCGACGGCGGAGCTGCCCTCCTAGTGGCCTCGCCGCGCTTCCTCGAGCGCAAGGGCATTCCGGCGTCGACAGGCGCTGTCATCATTGGTGGTGGCGAAGCGTCCGGGCCGCTGTACCCGCCGGCGCTCGCCGACATCAACGAAGACATGTTTTCTTGCGAGCAAGGTACGACTGTTTCGGTCTTATTGCCGACATGCATTGATTATCTTGGGATAGCAACCAAAATGGCGTACGAGGAGGCGAACGTGAGCGTGCGGGACATTGACTTTTTCGGTCTCTACGACTGCTACCCCGTGTGCTTGATCCGCGCCGTCGAAGCTGTCGGCCTCGCAGACCAAGGCGAGGGCGGTCGGTACATCTTGGGCAAGTACCACGAGCTCGTGGCCAACCCGGAGAAGCGCCCGCAAGACATTCTGCCCATCAACACGCACGGCGGTCTCTTAGCGTTTGGTGCGCCGTGGGAAGTCCCCGCCATGTACAATATCATCGAAGCATTCCACCAGATCACCAACACGGCGGCGACGCGGCAGATCCCCAACGTCCGGCGCGCGCTCGTGTACGGCAACGGCGGCATCTTCTCCCACAGCGCTGTCGCCATCCTGGGCAATGGCGTCTACTAAGATTCCCGTATCGCTTTCACGACAGCTGCGAGCTACATTGCACCCTGTCTTCATGCAAAATGCGACCTGTAGCTAAATTCCTAAAATACGTATCCTGGCCAAGTTGTGTTCTTGTTGTGTGGTACACTGTCATCGAATTTACCTACTACAAACCGACAATTCCACGACTCACGCTATCAAACATGTACTGCCATCGACTGTGCTGTATTCAAATTCTAGGTCATTGCTCAACTGACGAAGGTTGTCTGCCATGACTTTGACGCGCTCGGTACAGTCTAGTACTGAGTGTACGCAGCAAGTTTCTGCCTTTACAGTATATATGTGCTAGCAGTGACCGTGTATCTTGTAGTTCAACACAGTAGACGTAACATTAACATGACTTTATTTGATGACTTCGTCAACACATACGGCCAGCGACATTGACGAATGATCCAACTTAGAGCGTGTTGCAGCTCGGGGTAATGAACGGCGTCGAGATGGCTTCCGGCGCCGCGCCGAGACCACACGTGACTTTGGCCGCCAGCGCCTTGAACGTA